TCTCGCTGTGCAAAAGTTTACTGTCTGGTGCATTTGAAGCCATATAAGCCTCCACCCAGGACTCACAGGGGCAGAGTAGCTCTTAGCCTGGAGACATTAAAACGTTACAGTTGAGGTTGACGGGGCGAGGAAAGCGTGATGGTTTAGGTGCCTTTGCCAGAGGCTGAAGGCTGCTTCTGGGGGGGTGGAGAGCTATTGATTATAACTTAATTGAGAAAAAAGGCAAGCTCAGCATTCAGTGCCGATGAGCAGATTAAAATAGCTTCCCTCTTTCCATTCATCTCTTCAGTCCCTTGGTCCCTAAGCTGTCCCATCCAACTGGGCCATGTCCTAGAGGATGGTGGAGCAGACCCAGGCACGGGGTGGTTGTATGCCAGTAGCCAGAGGCTCTTGTTGGCTGATTACTGCCCCCTTCAACCTCTTCCAGGGGGGCAGACAGCCCTGCCAGCACTGCAGCTGTAGCATCTTTTCCAGTCTCCAGCTGCCCGCTCAGTCTTCAAGGTCTGTCACCCTGTGCTCTCTTAACGGGATGCCAGCTTCCTGGTGCAGGCAGCCTCTTACTTTCCTGCTATTAAACTTGAACTGCGAGCAGCAGCCCCCTTGCCCTCTTACCAGTGAAGAGCCTCCCCCTTCCAGCTATGCTACCACCTGGCTTGGATGGGAAGGAGAGACCGAGGAGAAGTGTATGTGCGTGCCCCCTCACTCTTGATTTGCCAGGCATAAGCATAGGTGACAATAACGTCAGGAGTCCCTGCCCCTTCATGTTGGGGTTGTAGCGGAGGGTGCAGGAGCCCTGGTGTTAGGCAAGGAGACTCTACCGGAATCTCTGAGCAGCAGTAGGTGAATTGGGGGGGGGGGGATTTTGGGAGGAGGCTGGCAGGGTCAAGCACCCCAGGGTTTAACCAGCCAGCAGCTGGTAGGCTCAGCAGTTCATTGCCTAACAGTACCAGGCCGAGGTGGGGATGAGGTGTTTAGGTGCTAGTGCAAGGGACGGGAGAGGTGTAGGTGAAGGCCTAAGCATAGCCTCTGCCAAAGTCGGGAAGCAGTGTTGCGGGGTGGGGGCTGTGTAGGGGAGGCCAAAGTAAACCATCCTCCAGTCCATCTGCCTGCCTGCAGTGGAAACCAGAGCCCCACAGGAGTGAGGGGTGGAGGAAGGAGTTAGAGTACATCCCAGAGAGCTAAGGAAGAAGAGGAGGGCATCCCCTCACTATGCCCCACTTGCTCTGTATCTGACCTGGCTTCCCCACGAGGGCTGCAAGGGAACGGTCCTCTCTGCATAGGTACACAGCCCCCAGCGGCTCCTGATGGCTGACCCCCCCCCTTTCTCCCCGCTTCAAGCCTGCCCCTGGGAGAGCTGCGAGGCCAGGGGAGGCTTACGGTGGAGATGGGAGGCTGCTGAGGTGGAGTGTGGGTTGTGTGCAGGCAGTTGGCAGGTTACTGTGGGTTTCTGCACCTCTGGGGACACGAGTTGCCATGTCACGGGTCAGACCACAGGTCTGTCTTGCCCTGTCTCATGTCACCTGGTGGCCAATAGCGGATGCTGAAAGGGAGTGAACAGGGTAGGCGCAGGGTTTCAGCCCGTTCCTGTCCCGCTTGCAGCTCCCAGCATCGAGGGAACTGGGATTCAGAGGCTGTGTCCCTACCTCCAGTGCTCAATTGCTACTGCTGCCCCTTTCCTCCAAGAGTGTGTCCAAGCTTCTTGTTTTATTGAATCTGGCTAAACTATGAGCTTCCACCACATCTGGTGGTACCAAGTTCCCCACTTTAGTTGCACACGGTGTGGGGGAGGAAAAAAACAAACCCTTCTTTTTGTTAGCTCACTGCCTACACATTTCCCTGTATGACCCCTGAGCTTTTGCATTGCGAGTAGTAGTAACTACATCCTTTTTTTACTTTCTCTTCCTTGCTCATGTTTACCCTCTCACTTGTCGCTCTAACTGCATAGGTCCAGCCTCATATAGGCCACTGATCATTCCTGTTGTCTTTTTTCTGCACTTTCTCTCATTCATCTGTATCCCTTTTGAGGTGGAGGGATTAAAACTGGGCCCGATTATTCTAGTTAACAAAGTAGCATCACAACACTATTTTGGTTACAATTCCTGCCTGAAGAGTCCATCCCGTATTGGAAGGTTGAGCAGGAGCAGAGTCCAGAAGCAATTGCCTTTTTGAGGCCTAATGAAGCCCACGGCCTGGCTTGTAAGAGGAAGACCTGGGCAGGGCGAAGCCGCTGTGCCTGCTAGGCTGAATAACTAGAGACCCTGAGATGCCAGCAAGCAATTGCTTGGGGCAGTTCACCAGGCCGTGATCCTGCCTGTGGCAGATGCTGTGTGATAGACAGGTACCTGAGCGTCGTTCCGGCCCGGCCACCCAAAGGCAGGTGAGACCAGGGAGGCCACGTGGGAAGCAGACCAGGGCTGAAGGCAGCAAGGAGTAAGCTTTATAAAAAGCACTTCTCATACAACCCATGAGAGCCTTTGTAGAATATTTTGGCTGCATTTTACCCATTTTAATAGAAAAATAAGCTACTGTAACATGTAGCTCAAGTATTGCCACATACAATATATACCCAGGGCAGGATGTGAGAGAGCCTTAGAGAAGAACAAGACCGTGGTTTAAGGACACACAAGATACTTTCCTCTGCCTTTTAGGGACAGATGGATTTTCAGCAATGGAAAACACTATAATGACGTCTCGTGCAGCACCTGTGCAATGTGTAGTGCTAGGGTGCACCCTGTTGTACCAAGGCCACAGAGCGCAAGGAGAAAATAGCCCTTAGAGCCGTGCGCTTCCCTCAGCTCCAGGCAGACAGCGCCGGGGGCCCCAGGGCTGCGTCGCCACAGGCATCTGGAGCAGCAAGCTGCAGTTCAATTTGCCATCAGCTTGCTGGGCTTCTGGATCCAGTTGCACATGAGGTTTAGCCCACTTTGATGGTTCTCTCTGCTGTGTCTAGCAGGGGCTGGCTCTGCGTTTTCACGCACTTCTGCCATGGGAGACCAAAGTGCTTCCCGTTCGCTATTCCTCTCAACTAGCATAGAGCTTCTCTGGGGCTCTGTCCCGTGTCCGACTCAGCATTCAACCTGAAAGCACTGCGCTCTCCAGCATGCAGCTCTTCAAACAGCAGCGGGGAAAGTCCAGTTCACATCACAATAGAGCACTCTAGAAAAGATGCACCCCAGAAATGAGATCAAATAGTATTACTGATGCGAGGCGCAGGCGGAGGGGTGAGGACAGAAGGAAAAAAGGTCCGCGCAAACTTCTGCTTTGTGACTTAATGCATTGGCATCTCAAAAATAAAGGCCGGGGGGGGAGGAGTGATTTAAAACGCATGAAGCAGACAAAACTGCTTGCACACCCCTTGGATGCATTTGTAAAGAATAGGTGCACACGAAGGTGGCTTTTAACACTTTAAGGCTGGGAACAAGAAGTAGCAGCTGTTTATGGAGTCAAGTTGTCTCTTATTTTTACTTCAAGCAGGGCCAGGAACTTACGGCCTGCGGACCTGGGGTTTCGGTGGTGCTTCCCCTGTGCCTCCATGGGGAGACAACTGGTGGTAGGATCCTCCTCCCAACCCCTCCTCGGATGCGGACTTGGGACAAGAAAACCATCAGCAGTTGAGTTGAAGGATGTGCAGAAACTCAACGGCAATTCTGACCTCCTCTGGGTGGGGAAGCCACGCACAGTATGCAAATATATCCAAGTCTGCAGCAGCTGACAGAATTAAAAACAAAGGGACCCAGCTAAAAAGTGAAAGTTTTTATTAAATATAATTTCCATAAACTTTTGTTTTTAAAACAATTTTCCTGACAGAGCTGTACAACAAGCACACTAAAGATCCTCTGAGAGCAGAGTCAATAAGCAGAACATCAGAGGCAGCCACAGTGTCTGAGGTCCAAAATTCTTGGTACTAATTATTGCTACAGTTTCCAGTTGTTAATGCCCCTCGTTGGCAAAAATAAACCATTGACATCAACACGCGACGGTACCAGGCAATGCTTCCCGCCAGAGCATCATTCAATGTTCTTTTCCCCAAAAACACGCGGTACTTGATTATACTTTTTAAAAAGAGAAAAAAAAAAAGCCCAGATGATTTGTGTTTCTACACGCCCAGAAGAATCAAAGGTTTTAATGGGACTACAGCTAAGCGTTTTTTAAAATACGAGCTTTGGTGTAGTAATGACATATTACTCCTACCTGAAAATGAGCTTTATGTTTAAAATAATTCCTCTTTATTCCTCAAACATGTACATGAAATATATTTATTCCACTGCTAAACCCCCCCCCCAAAAAACAAACCGGAATGGACTCCTTTGATACATGAAACAACTCCTTTTACAAATGCTGACTCTAAAAGAAAAAAAAATTGCTGTTACTTTGCATCTTTTAAACAACTGTGTTGTAATCTGCAATGTGTTTTGTTTGCTTGGGGGGTTTTTTGTGTGTTATCATATACCGCTTCATGCTCTATACCATAGGTACCTTTTTACTCCAAGCCTACACGGCTTGATTTAAGTTCCATGCATTTATACAGGCTGGAAACAACCAAACAAGTCTGATATCTACAGGCATGATCATTATCTACACTTACGGCAAGAGAGCGATGTATTATGGCTAGAGCCAGGTGAATACCTCAAAAGCTATGGAAAAACCTTCACTTGAATGGACAACATGCTTTAGCCTGGACAGCACATAGGGTAATTATTAAATTACCTTTGTCGGAAGATATTTAGCTGCAGGAACGTGTTTGTGAAAAGCGGAAATGTCTCAAATCCTCATGTGAATGCATACGTGTGATCAGTGACGGAAGCGTTCACGTTTGGAAATCTCCAATTTCCCTTGTTTATAAGTGAAGTCATTCAAATAAAAAGCAGGAACCAGATACAACTTAGGGGGATAAATTACCTGCCATGCAAAATACAAAATGAATAACTAGTGGAGTGGAAACAGCTTATCAGCAACTCATAAGAGGGGATAGTTGTATAACACATCTACAAAGAAGCATCTGTAAATGATATCTGAATATGAAGAGCTAATATAGGAAATTTTCCTACTCTGAAAGGTTCGCCCAGCTCTAGTTATGTAAATCCATCGGAGATTATTGTGATCATCTGGAACTGCAGCAGCATTGCACAATTATCAGGGGTTAACTTCTGTTAGAGCCACGTCACTACTACAGCCACAACGAGAAATCAAGATAACAAGTCAGGCTCCAAACCAGGCGGTCTTGCGCATACATGATATTTAAGTGCTTCTGGATACTGTGCTCCACAAATCAATTGCAAGATTTTGAAACCTAATCTTAAAAGCAAAGGAAGTGGGTCAGATTTAACAATTACCAATCCTATAGATTAGATGCCGTTATTTAAAGATGCAATGTTTCTTGCACTAGAAAACAAGAACATTTCTACAGGTACAACAGGTGCCCTGTCATAAAAAACCATGTTAAAAATGTTACCAAATAGTTCCAATAAAGAACGATAGTTGCCTACCACGATACATTATACAAAGCATTTAAAATAACTTTTTGCACTAGAAAACATTAAATTATTCTGGACCTGTGAAGTCAAAGTTTATGGCGCACCCTTCCATTGGGTTCCCATTATAAAGTAGACTAGTTATATTTTAGGTTGTGAAGTCATTATAAGGTTTAAAAAAAAAAAAAAAAGACGACACTTTTCCCATCTGTTTTTCCATTTTACAGTTTCTAGAGAGCTTGCTGCAAGGTAGCATATATTCAGCAATAGAAAATACTTCGTCTGAAAAAGCAACTTTCCCAAAGCAGGTGCTAAGACCTACCGAGAATTTAATCTAATTCCAAAGGTGGCTGTGGAGAAGGTGAGCCCTTGTCCTGCTTTCAAACATGCAGGAAAAGGAGACTGCGTCTGTCACGTCATCAGTGTTAAAGTGCACGGAGAAGTAGACTTTACCGCAGTAAAAGCACACACCTCCGGGAATCCTGTGTATATGCCTCGTGGGTAACAAGGCTGAAGGTGAGTCTAGTACATCACCTGGGCGCTGCAAGCTGTTCTTCCTGACTCGTGGTCTTAATCAGAAAGACCAACAGTTAGGGCTGGATACAAAAAATGCAGCATGCGTGATTAACTCTGCTTTGTGTAACATCCCACGTACTACCAAATCTAAAAATCAGCATTTAACATACACTTTAACACTCCCAAAAATATACAAGCACCTTTCTGGAGCAAAGCCAATCTTAAATTATTTGTGGCGTGTTACAAAAAATATTGTTGCTTTCCTTCTTAAGCAGCCATTAGGTCAGTACCAAGTCCTGGGGGAGCCAATTATGCATTCCTGTTAATGGGAAATAAAACATTACTGATGAAGTTTTACTGCATCTAGAAAAGTATACCTCTGCAGACAGATGAATTCTTAAGTTCAGGAAAAACCGTTCAAATGCATGGTTACACCTGGGAACAGGGGCAGTTGGGGGCAGGGGGATGCGAGGCGGACATTTTTGAAAGACACATCATGAAGGTAAATTCTTCAGTGCTAAAATGTTGCTTCTTTGGTACAAATGTCTTCAACCTTTTATTTGTACAACCGAATACAAAGTATACGTGTATGAGATGGGCTCGTTAGAAATGCTTGGAGCTGGGTTCTTTTTTGGAAGCCTCTTCCTTTTTCTAGGGAGAGACCCTAATTTAGATTTTCATACATGACACACTAATTACACAAACAAATTAAACTACATGGCAACACTGAAAATCGCTGGATGATTAAGCAAGCTATGAATGACGGACAGATGGGACTGCTTTTGGGAATTAACACACAATGTTTTCAAAACAACAACAGCTACAAACAGCAGATATCGGACCAGAATTTTTTAAAGAAAGTATTTCCCAAGATCTTTCCCAGGTAAATGTGGCAAGATAAACAGTCTCAGGAAGAGAAACAACATGCTGGTGTATTTAAGTCAGACTCCTAACTCATGTTATAAAGAAACTTATGTGGCCAAGAGAAATAGGAAGAGATTTTTCTTTTAATTTTGTAGTTCCACAAAAAGGTTATTCAGGGAATACTAACTGGCAACCCATCCTTTATACTGCAACAAAATTAAGACAATTTTCAGACTCCATGCAGTTCTCTCAAATATCTCAACACAGATGCTGTTCATACTACACACCAGACTGATTTCAAGCAATAATTTCAGAGGATCTCGGTGCTTGAAATCACAATTATGCATGCATCTCGACTTAGGACAATCTGAGCATTTTCAATGTGTGGTAAGGAGGCTATCCCGATAACATGGACCATACTGAAAAATGGGATTGCTTTATCACTGCTAAGTGTGTGGGGCTCGATGCACCTGTCACTGAGCTTGGTTTCTCTACTGATTTCAATAAAACGTATTCACTTCAGCCTGAGAAGACAATTAGGCACATCTTTTTTTGTTCCAGTTCACAGAATCTGGGACTTGGGTAATGGAGACAATCTCCTGAAACAGCTTGTGCGCCACGGAGGGTTTTGTCTCCATTATGAAAACCAGTGTAAGCCATCTAGTTCACCTGCACTACAACTCCAAAAAGACAGCTGCAAAGTAGACAAGCTGGGGGTATGTACATATGTACCGCTGTGTCCCACAGCTCTACCTCGTGTAATATCCAGGCTAAGTAGCATTAGGCAATATCATGGTAAGACAGACTCTGTCCTACCGCCACAACAGCCTGCTTTTGCTAGCAGCAAATATCAGGTCTGAATTTTGCAGATGCAACTTTCCAGTTACTGCGTTTCAAAAATGTCATGCGTTTATGGAGATTTGGAGCCTGAAGCCGACATGAGAAAATGCAGTCCCAGCAGTGGAATCACTTCCACCAATCTGCACATTTTGGGGTTGCCAACAACCGACTTGGCAAGGGGGATCGTCAGCATCACTGCTGCAATCTCCTCCAATTCTCAGTTTTCAACATCTGCAGCTAGTTGATTTGACACTTCTGCTAGCTGGTGTCTCTCAATATCACCTGTTAAAAAATGAATTTGCAAGACTTCCTATCCAGTCCCAGAATCTGAAAACACATTTATATTGGAAAATGCACCTGAAAAAAATGTGCAATACTGTCCAAAGTAACACATGTGAAATTTTATTTTTATTGGTGTATTTGTATATCAAAACATTGCCATCAATGTGTCAGATCCTTCAGACAGATGAAGATAACTAATGCTTAATTAGGTCTTCAAAGTACAACATGGTCAAGTATAAATACATTAGAAAGAATAAAACATGCAAAAAATCCCCAACTTTAAAAGGATTAAATTGTTTACATTTACCGAATTTATGCCAGTGAGATGCAGAATCCATTTCATATGCATCTTTCTCCCCTGCTCTTCCATATCAGGATCAGTAATTATTAAAACACGTAGAGCATAATAGAGAACAAGCGACTCCTGAATATTATTTGAAAAGAACAAGCAGCAGCTGTAAACTTTTTTTTATACCATTCCATTCTACGTAAGCTATGACAGATTTATAGGAAGTGGCTAGTAGTTTATTGCCATTTCTACACCAGCACAAACGCCTGCACGGCATTTCAATTGCTTTACAAAAATGTTGAGTAGGATAACCATAAAGCTATGTTCTACTTGCTAACTATTTTGCCCATGGAAGAAATAAGAACTTTCTTTATTTTCAATTTGCTAAGAATATAAGGAGATGGCCCAATATGAATGTAGAATAAATATATCTATATATAAATGTCTTAAAGAGGGGGAAAAGAGTCTACTTAAAAGTATGACACTGGACTTAAAAACAAGTCAGTACCTTCAGGCACCTAGATCTGGGAGCAGAAATGTGGTTGTTGCCTCTTCCTGACATCCCAAATAATGTCAGACACAGGAGGACTTCCATGTGTTAAAATGGTACCTCAAATAGTAAATGGGCAGAGAAAAAGCACATTCTTAATATGCAACAATTTAGCAATTTAGGCCTATGATTGGAAGAGAGATCAACCTTCAGTTGTATGTGTTTCTATGCTACAGGATAGACCACAAGGTTTGTATATTTAGTAGTCTGCATTATTCTGGTAGATTTGCTAGGGTGGGTTATAGCACTGAACTTGCTTATAACCTAGTATAGATAGGTGAGCACCATATGGCTTCCACAAGGCATTAACAAATGTCCCTGTTAACAAGTACTTGAGTCCATTGTGGAGAGAGTCAAGATGCTTCGGTCGTTGGCATAGAAGGGATCCGATGAGCTCCATGATCTAAAGCAATAATAAAAGAGAAGTTTGGCTGACTGGGAACCTATAACTTGAGAGGAGAGGAGAGTAGTCTATAAAAGCATCAAATTAAGAATTTTGTCATGATATGCCAAAAATAAAACTTCCTTTTAAAACCGTAGCCAGCTAATTCCGTCCTGATGCCTACAATTCATTCCCACCCTTGAAGCTTCTGCACTGTACAAATGGCAAGAGGTATTTTGTGAATTTGCTGGTATACAGAGGAAGCAAACTACTAAATGTTGTGGCTTAAGATACTGCAACAGCTACACGTTTTTATAATTGGGTTTGCATCGTTAGCGTTCTAATACTTACGCTTTGAGACAACTGGACTAACGTATGTGCAGATTCAGGCACAGTGAATGCTACAGTTTATTTTTGGCATAGTAAAATCATTCTAATAAAGTCTCTGAGTATGCAGAGCTAATTGTGGAATGTGATTTTATTTTTATGTTTTAATGAAGATGCAGGAACTCTTTAACTTGGAACCGGTTTCACCTACTTAATTAGTTAACTACAGGCATTAACATATTTGACTATTGGCTATGCTAGCTTTAAGCTAAATTGTGTCTCAGGAGATTAAAAAAATACCCAAAGCTATTACTGGCTTTGATTGAGATATAAACAAACAACGCTTTTCACCCTGAACACGTTACTTCTCTAGATGGTGAAACTGCATACATGCCTCTGCTTTCGGCAGTATTACTAAACTTTAATGTATTTAGATTAAAAACTGAAAATCAGGGGTGCGAAGGGAGACAGCCACAAGTAGAAACACTTTTATTCTCCGAAACGCGCGTCTGTCAGAAATCTGCTGTTTCTCCACAACTACTAAACACAAGTACCTTGACAGCTGTATTACTAACGGCAGGTTTCTGTCACGAGAACTGTGAGATCTAGAATTCTTTATATTTTATGGACTGATGAGCTGACAGGCTATCTAATGGAAGACACACAAAGACAGTTCACCAGTTTGTGAGAAACATTTCTATTCTAGTTTAGATGATGAATATAATCATGAAAAAATGGATTTTGAAGAATGTCTTTAACAACAGCAAAGAGGTTAAGTACCAATGCCTAATGCCCTCCACTCCAAGCATTTGTACCACCTTGATCAAAGAAAACAGTTCTCATCCAGGTCCTGATAGCCCATTTCATTTCATACCCAGAAATCATATTTGACAGAATATTGGGTGCACCTATTAGATGCGAACACAAACCCTATTCATAGCAACGGTCCTTTTAAGAGCGCCCTTCATTGTGACGGATGACAAAGCGCTTTTACAAACCGCATATATAAAGGTGGCACTTTGCTCACCCGTGATATGCCGCTACTTCTAGGGTGGAACGAGGCATTTGTTTAATGCTACAGTCACAGCACACAACAGACGACTCCACTCAGAACTTGGTGGTCCTCTAACAATATTAGTTGTTTAACAAACTATTAACAGTATTTGTCCCCAAGTCTGATGTATCCTTAAGTAAAATATATTTTGGGAATTAAAAACACTTAATTGTACCTTCAGCATTTCACAGCTCGTAACTGCTTCACATGACTTCTGTAATTGGTATGTTCAACAAAAACATTCAAGGACTTTCACATATTATAAGGCAAATGTAGGGGAAGAACATAAATATATCCTCCTACTGCCACTTGGCTTTTAGACTAGACTTTAAATACAAATGCTGAAGGCAAGGAGCAGAAGTCATACAGAAAGAGACAATAAGAAATAAACCAAATGGGTTCTGTTCCTGTAAAGTTTCACAAGGATTAGGGCTAATGTGAAACTGAAACGGTTGTGAAAGAACCATTTGAGTATAATAAACACTGGAACAGCAGTAAGAATGGGACTTTTAAAATTATTAAGCCAGACGGGATGGTCTTTTGGAAAAAGATGACACGCGGCAACAGACAAGAAGCCCGAGGAATAGCGCAGTATTGAAAGTGCTTTATATTCTGTCAAATATGATAGCTGAGAGGAAAAAAGGTCACACAGAGAAGGGAGAAAATGGTAAAAAAATCTGAAAAGAGTCACAAAGCAGAATGGAAAACAGACCATACCTACCTTTACAAAGCCATATACTACCAAAATACATTTTTGATCAAAAGCAGTACCACTTATTAAATGGCATTAAAATTTTTAAAAAAGCAGCATGAAAAATAGAAGTTCCACCTCGGTGCAAAGCACAGCTTGCATGGTCTACAGAGGACAACAGTGAAATAAAAGATCCCTACAGCAACCATTAGAGAAATGTTGATTTTAGACCAATTAAGTGCTCATCTTGTAGTTTAAAAAGTCTATTAAACCGTTTATTTTATAGATCATGCCCGCTTTCTATACAGCAAGATTTTTGATTAAAAAAAGTACTTGTTCATAACATTTACTTTTTATAAGGAATGAGACAATTTTGCATAATTACCCCCTAGATTTATAGAAACAGTGAACAAAATTTCATAAGCAAGCTAGAGTAGGAGGAAGTGATTGGAACCACAGACACTGTGTTAACACAAGAACGTTAAAACTGAGATGTGCTACGTACCGAGAATTAACACCTAAAGGTAAAATCAGAACTGACTAAGCATGTCAGTATAAATTACCCATACAAGCTTTTACTGGGATGAATGATACCGTATCCTTTAACAAAAAGACAGTTGTGGCAATATTAAGTGAATCTCCTTGTAAATGAGAAGTGCACATTTTTTTTCAGGTTTGGCTTTTCAAATAATGGAGGACTACGATATCATTCAGAGGTTAACAGACCACGATGTACAAAAGGTTATTTTTATTTCTACCCCCAAATAATTCCATATTTGTTAGCTAGCCCTCTTTACTTTCCAGAAATGGTTG